AGACCACCTTCAGTGATCAAGCAGGCCGAGCTCACAACTTTGACAAGTCGTTGTATCTGCCAGTCTTTGTTAACAAATTCTTCGAACCAACAGAAATGCCATCTGATCAGTTCTTTGCAAGGTAAAAGTATTTGTATTGCAAGCTGAGCACTTGACAACCTTCCATTTCAGGTGGAAAGCGCTTGGACAACCTTCTCAAGAGTGTCAGAAAATTTTCCCAGCTAAAGTGTCTATGGAACCGTCTTTGGTCACGCAGCGGCTTACTGGACTTGGCGCAAAGTTGCTGGCTGATGTCGATCCAAATCCGGACAATTATGTTTGTGCGGGGATAATTCACACGCAAACACAGCAGATTGGCACACTCATCCGTTTGGAACCAAATAAGCAAGCAAAGGTGTGTTACAAAGTTCCCTTTACGGATGTTTTGAGGTAATGTGTTTAGATGTATCGCTTGACAATTCGAAGCAGCAAGGATACCGTCTCTGCTTATCTTGTGGAAGCGCTTGTTGAACAGTTCTAGTCTCACTCTTAGTCAACATTTGATATGCTAGTATCTGTCCTCCCCATATACTATCCTGCCTGTGATCGCCTTGAATTCTGTGGTAATTGGTTGTGTGACTTGTCGTTTCTCCCTTAAGAAACGCGTTACCCTTATAGAATGACATGAGATTGAAATCTCCTATATGCATTGATTAGGTACTAGACATATTCATCTTCACTTCTAACAACATAATATAAGATCCGGGTGTCCAGATCTCCAGAAAAATAGTTGTTACGACCTTTCCATTCAAAACCGTATTTACTTTGTTATACATTATCCAAATCTCTTCTAAATAAATTATTGTGCAACAGAATTTATATCCACCAATATTAATATAAACAATCAATGTAGGTAATGTGTTGATGATTTTTATATCGTTAACCATTGATGAACTCGATATTGTTCTATAGTCTGCGAAGTCTCTGTAGGGTAAATGGTGAGCTACTCGCTCTTGAGGATCTAATCGCTCAAGAGTGAGTGAAACGCGTGCGCCGCATGTGACCAATCGGCGGCAGCTCCTTTCAAAGACCAGCTCGTATGAATTGTAATGTTGATTCGTTGACCCGCGGACTGCTCAAACGCGCGGTGCGGTTAAAATGCTGCGGGAGCACGACTTGTAAGAGCTATCCCA